TTTCCAGGAACCTTTCCGCTACAAGGGGAAAATAAGGGGCTACAACTCCCCAAAACTCAAAAAAGTACAACCGCAAAATTGCGAAAATCCGTTGGTAGCTGCCGTGGTGAACAAAGAAAGTGTCGATACACATCTAAGAGTCGGAAATGAAAACGAGCACATCATGTGCTTCAAAGTCTTCGCAGGTGAGATATTTTTCATCATCATAAACGTGTATTGTCAGTACTTGCTTCCTCTGGAAGGGTTCCTGAATAAAATAGAGAGTCTGATAAACTTTCCAAGAGATAAAATCTTGGTAACCATGGACTCAAACGCAAAATCAGGGCTGTGGTTCAACGAAACCACAGATGAAAAAGGAATCCTTCCTTTTGGAGGAATTTATTTATTTATAAGCGAAAACAACTTAACGGTACTGAACAAGCCAAATAATCCATCCACATTCATGAGTGGATTAGGGGAATCCAACATAGACGTAACTGTTGTTATATAAAATTTTGCGAAAGAAGTGAAAGCATAGAAGGTAGACTGCAGCCGCACGACAAGCGATCATAATCTGATCGTAATGGAACTCGAAGGGAGAAACAGCGACACTCGGAATTGGAATGCAGACTTTGGCTATAACACGAGGAAGGCAGATTGGCAGAAATTTGGGAGATCCGTCGACCAAAATTTCAATGAAGAGATCGTCCAATCCTTGAGTACCCTTCCTGCTGACGAAGCGATGAAGGTATTCAACAAAAAATTAGACACGTGTTGCAAAGATGCAATCCCAAAAAGAAAATCTTTGGATAAGTCAGTTCCATGGTGGAATCCGCAGCTAACGGATTTAAGAAAGAAGTCTATGGCAGCAAAAAAGCAGCTACTGCGTGCGCGACGACTACACCTTGCCGATATGATTGATGGGTATGCCAGCGAGTACAAAACGCTGAGAAACGCATACGTATCAACCATCAAGAAGCGAAAATAGGCGTGGCAACAGTTCGTTGAAGTAGAGGGCAACAGAACCCTTGGGGAATCCTCTACAAGATAACGAGACAAAGCTTGGTAGGCCGACCTTGTTGACGGCGCTAGAACTTCCAGATAGTAGTAAGACTACCAGTCTGGACGAAATGATCAAAGTCTGTTTAAGTCTGAGCAGAGTGAAGAGTGTCAAACGCTTACACAAAACCTGCGAAGATACAGAAATCTGAATATGGAAAGGACGATCACTTTTAATGAATTCAAAGGGGCGATATCCAGATTAAAAAATAACAAGGCACCTGGGATCGACAACTTCAAGGTGGAAATAGTCAAAGAACTATGGAAGCAAAAGCCGGAAGCAATTCTGTGCTTAATTAACAACTGCTTCAGCCAGGGAGCGTTTACTAAACAATGGAAAGTGGCTAACCTGAGAATAATTCTGAAAGATGAAAATAGAGATAGAACGCTACTGAACTCGTATTGTACTGACCAATTGCGCTTCTGCCAGTGGTCGGAAAAATATACGAGAAGGTAGTCGTAAACAGAAAAAGTCTCTGTTCGCGTGTCCAACCTGTTTCTGGAAATGCAATTTCGACATGAAAATCGACATTAAAAGTGGTACAAGTGGGCCATGCCACCTGTTTTTGTAAATATTCTTCGATATTTCGAATTTAGTATCTGGGTCGCGATCACGGATGGGCAGGTAGGTATCGATACAAACGTTTATATAGGTGCTGCTCAAGCACTCTCATGCTGACGGACAACGATCTCCATGATCGATGGTCGTCCATGTGTATTTGAAGCAGCAATCACGATTTATGTTTTTATTTTATCTTTATAAATTATTTTTTGGTTTCGCGAATAGAAAAACTTAAGCCTAGGTTCATGCTTCAGCAAGCATCGCGCCCGAAGATAAAAGAGGATCGAAAAACTGCCATAGAAGAAGCCTGCAACAAATGGCTTATCCTCCGCTGGATGGGAAATACATCTAAAGAATTGTTAGAAATACATCTAAAGAATTGTTATTATTTTGTCACTATGCCCGAATTTAGAATTTGTAGCATGTAGTATTTCTTTTTCTTTTGTGGCCGATATAGATCTACCAGATCTATATAGATCTACCAGACCGATATAGATCTAAAAATTTTTTATTAGTGTTTCTAGAAATTAATTGCGGGTTTTATTAGAGTTATGAATTAGTGAAGATTCCGGATTGTGTATTATATCTGTAAAAGAATGTATATTTCAGATTGCATAAGAGTTTGCTATAGTGTTGCAAATTTTAAAATATCCCGATTATACTTTATGATTTCATTTATTACGAAGGAATTTTAGAACTAAATGAAAAATTTGTTAAAATTATTATTTATCTTGACCGCGAATAATTGATATAGCTTCTGTTGAATTCTTTGAATTGAATTAGTTAATTGAATTGAAGTTAATTGATTTCGTTATAAAAGTTAGATATATTTTTCATTGTGTTTGTTTCAATGATTTTCTTAGTGTTGCATTGCAAACGCGACAAATGTCGCTTTTCTTTAAATAGTGTTGCGTTAATAAAATGCCCAAATTCATTCCACTAAGATTGTGGAAGTACGTTTTTAAGACGCATGATGCACTTAAAACAGTCGCACAGATGTGGTTGTCAGTAGTTTTCATTACATATGCACTGAAATCCCGTAATTATTGTTGTGAATGTTTTAACATGACTGCATAAAATAATATTTATTATCGTTACGAAAATAAAATGTCCTGCTGCATTTTCTGGAGTTCACTATTTATTTTAGTTCTGTAAAGTAGTAAGGTAATTATTATTGTAAACATATAAAGACCATCACGCGATTTATTTCGAGAATCTTTTACTTTTCTCACTTCAATAAATTTGTCTTGCAAAATTCAAAAGTAATTCCACTGTCGGTTTATAGACCGGGTTTGTATTCAGTTGATATTGATTATATTTTGGTAATACTTTTGGCTACTAATTTACTTTCCTTTTCAGCATCCCTTATTGCCGTAGTATTGTTATTGAAGATGAGTTGCTAAAAATATATTTGTTACACAACAACATATTTTTCAATTGCCACGGCAGTGTCTGTAGCTACTATGATTTTTACATGATTTCATTAAATAATTATATTGATATTTATATTCATATAAACAAATATGAATATAGTTTAAGCATTTCTTAAAATGAATAACAGTGAATGTCCATTATTAGAATTTATTTTCTCCATTTGTAATAGATTTTTTTGATGGCTTGATATTCTCATTTGTTTAATTTCTTGTCTGATTAAATGTCTATTACTTGTAATATTAATTTAAGAAATAAGTTGGTTGCAGATTTATATATTTCTCGGAAGTTTCAAATTTATAGTCATATGAATATAAAACAATAACTCAGAAATGGGACGATGATAACAAATGATATAAATTTGAGAAAATAAAATCTGAATCCTTTTATTGGTAATTGATAAGAAAGTAACATTTTGCAAAGTTTTATTAATTTTTAGGTTATTTCAATTTTTTTAGTTTATTTCAGACACTATTTGTTTTGACACTATTCAGACACTATTTTGACATCAACAGAAGAAAACTCATATCCCACACCATATACAATATAATATCCTATTCATTCTCTTTATTACATTTTGTTTTTATATAGAGAAATTCTTCATAAATAGATCTGGAGCCAGGATCCCACGTTATTTTCATTGTAATATCCTTTTGCAGTTTTCTTAAACACAACATCACGAACGCGTCGCGGCTAACATCGAAGGAAGTTCCTCTGATAGATGGTTAAAATCGATGTAGCTTTTTCGGCCTGATTCCGTAGTAGAAGACTCGGCATGATGTCTGAGATCGAAGGACGTTTCTTGGACCGATGATTAATTTCAATTGTCGTTTCACGGCCTGAGTGCTAACATTGAACTACGTTTCCCGATCTCATGGCTAACATCGAAGAACGTTTCTCGGCCTCATGTCTAATATCGAAG